TATATATATATTATTGATGGGTGGAGAGAGTGAAGATACATTTCTGTCCAGAAGCGAAACGAGGGGCATCTCAGTATTTGCTCAAGGAATCAGAAACACTGGACAAAAAACCTGATCGAGATGGGGTCATTCACCTGGGAATTATACTACACTACTTGTTACAGATAGATTAAGAAATTATACAGATCATTGTTTTTAGTAGCAAAATATTTAACATTTCAAAATTTGTACTGTTTGAAGTTTAAAGTAAAAGTAAAATTTACTTGTTATTTTCATTTTACTGCTACTACTACTACTACTACTACTACTAATAATAATAATAATAATAATAATAATAATAATAATAATAATAATAATAATAATAAAATAATTATAATAATAATTTTAATAATAATATTAATAATAATACATGATATCAATTATCATAACAACTACATATAATTTAACAATATTAGTACATTCTATGTTTAAATTTTGAAATGGAGAGGAGTAGGAGGCAGGATTTTTTTCTATTTCTACACCTAGTCCTGCTGCAGCTCCTACTGCATCTATGAAATCCAGGGTGAAGGAAATAGAAATTTTGGACGGACATTCTCCTTCTACATTCGTCCAACTGCAATTTAACACAGTCAGGACAGGATGTGCCAGTTCTTTGTTCTTTGCTTCAGCTCGAAACAGTCAACACGAAACAGAAAGTCAAATGGGAGAAAATTTTTTATCCATTTATATTTTTTTAAGGGAAATATTGCTGGCATTATTCCCTTAAATGGGAATAATATCCCGGGAATATTCCTTCACACTAAAACATGTTTTTAAGCAGGAAAGCTTTTAATTTACTTTTAAATGTATGAAATGTATGTTATGTCTTTAATATCATTGCCCAGTTTGTTGTAAAGTGTGATGCCCCCGATTAGGGTATTTTGTTGATAAAGTGTCGTTACAGAGTGGGGAACATGTGGGTTATCCTTTTGATGACTGTTGTAGTTGTGTCCATCGGATTCAGAGTTAAAGTGACGTTGTTTTCCATGAGAATTTTCTTTGTGAAGACCACTATTCCAAATATATTTACATGCATTTGTGAATTTCTTTTTTAAAAATGATTATTGTGTTTTTTCTTTGATGATTATATTTCTCATCTGCAAACAAAATTATTTTGTTATTCCTTTAAGTCAAAGGCATGTTATTTATTTAATAATTTTATACCGTCTGTGATTTTTAAGTTTTGTAGAATAACATCCAGATTTTTAAACGGATTTTCAAATTCCCAGTAGGGCTGTAATACGTGCATAAGACCCATGTTTTTATTGTAGTTAAATCAGTGATGGGTATTTCAAAGTCTTTCTCTTTTATAAGATGAATATGATTGGTGTAGGGTACAAAACTAATAGTATCTTTTATAATAATGCATGTCCCACCATATGCATGATGTGGATTGTTAATGTATCAACATGAACAGCTGGCTAAAGAGAAGCCTGGTACATGCGTATTATCTAATTGTTCTTTTGTCAGCCAGTGTTCTGTGAAGTACAATATTGAAATGTGGTTTTCCTCAAGTAATATTTCTATATCAGTAGGTTTATTTTTCAGTAACTGTACATCTTGGTGAAAAATGTGAAGATAGTTTTCATTTTTGTGTATTATCTGCTTTCCTGCTGATGTTTGCTGCTACAGGTTATAGGCCTACACAGAGTGGGTTTTTGGTTTAAACAGAAGTTATATTTGCGGATGGGATGGGGAATAGGAGGTGTGGAATTGTTGAAGAGGTTGGGGAGGATAAGAAATGTGAGAATAAGGTTGGAAGAAGTGGAATGGGAAGGAGAGATATAGGGGTAGGAGAAGGAACTAGTGGTGGTAAGAGAGGACTGGATGTTGGTGAAAGATGTGGCATAGGTTAGAGGGTTGTGAAAGGAGAGGAGGAAGAATGGGTGGGAGATGGATGTTGGGTAATGTACTGTACTTGATTGATTTATTACCTCTGGTTTTATATATTTGTTGCAAAATGCCTTTGTAATTTGTTCTTCATTCTTGAATTTCTCAATTTATATACATATCTTAGATTCTGTTAAGAAGTTTACACAGATTTGGCTAAATCAACAATAACCAGAACTGTGCATTACTTGGTCCACCCACAGTGAGGCTGGACTGACCTGTCTTCACTGCTGTAAAGTGTAAATATTTATTAAATTCCACTATTCTTTATAATACAATGTAATATGGTTCATTATTCCAGACAACTCTATTGTAAGGAATTGTGTTTGTGCTAGAAATTTGAATCTGTATTCAGACACTTTTGTTTCATGTTGTGTCCTATTGTTCATTCTTACATGGTAATTCAGTGACATTGTATATCCATGCAAGATTATAAACATGTCTAATGTAAGTCCATTCTCTGTTGATAAATAATGAGTAGCTGAATATTTTATATTTGGAATATTTTCATAAGTGTGTCGTATGCCGTGTGACTAGCTGGTATGTGTGTTACCTTGTATATCAGATTGATGCCTTTCTTAGTTTGGATTCCATATAGGGCTTCCAAATTCCATAATAGGAAGAGTGAATTCTTTTGAAAAGTAACCTCAATGAATCAGTAATATGTCATTTAAATACCTTCCAAATAAGAAATAGAGCTTTATTTGCTCTTTGATTACTTGTTAATAAACATATTAATCAACCAAATAGGAAAACAGTTTCATCTAAAACATATTTGATAAGATTATTTATCAGAAAGAAAACATTAGTCCAATGAAAGGACGACACATTCCATCAAATAATGAGTCAAATTTTATGATTGATAGGAAGCTAGAGATAAAATATAATTAATATTTCCAATGCCAATTTCTTTTGAGCAGGTTGTCAGATACTGATGACATGTCATCTTTTTATTGGTGCATTCTAGATGTAGCTAACTTTTAAATTAATGTTTATCACAACATGTAGGTGATAGAAATGTGTAGTCATTGGAGCATTTTTTGACATTTTGTGCCCTTTATTAAGTTTTAGGTCTATTTCTGAACCTTTACATAATTATTGTCATTTTTATGCACTTTGTTTCCTTTTTGTTAGTGAATGTTTCATGCATTTACAATGATACATAAAAACAAAGATTTTATTTATCATCAATTCATGATGAAATTCACTCTCTACTGCAGTGAACCCTATTTTTCGAACTCTCAAAATTACACGGATCTTTAGTAACTACCTCGACTTTGAAAACTGATGTTTGGAAGTTTGGAGCTAAGGATTACATTTCCTGCTAAAATAAAGACTTTATATTAAATATAATTTTTTATAACTACATTTTATTTAAAATTTTAATTTCATTGACTAAATAAACATAGACAAATATTTCAGTTTTTAAAAAAAATTAGGTCATTTTCTCTTATTTTTAAGCCACTTTATTTTCAAAGAATTTTTAGGTCATCAGAAACCAAACCCTGCTTATGAGTTTATTGTTGAATTGTATTTCTCCTGGTATTCTTTCATTTTCCACGACTTTCCTCTTTTTGACCAGTTCACCATACCACATCATCATATTAGAAATCCCTAACCAGTGAGAAGCCCAACATTAATTTGCTATTACCCATTCCATGTTTATTTTTTTTATATAATGCTATTGCCATAGTATTACTGCTGGTGGCTCAATGTATGGGTGTGTTAACATTTTGTTTGATTTGTTGAAGAAACTTCAGTGTAGTGAATAAAACCTTAATTCCCCAAGGAAAGTACTTAGAAGTGGAGAAAAGAAGGGAAGATAAAATTAAGTGCTATTCCTCAAAATTACAAATGAGAGAAATGTGTTTTGGTGTAATGATGTCTCGGTTTTTGAGTTGGTTAGATATTCATAGTGGATTTTTTTTGTGCTAGTAAAAGTAGTAAATTTCATTCTCAAATACATGATGTAGTCAGAATCCAGACTTTGTAGGTCACATTTTCTGAAAAAGTATTTTTTGGCAAAATGTTTGTGAACAATACTAGCACCTAAGCCATACAAAGGATTTTCAAAAAAATTGATATTCCCCAACCAAAGCCTCTTAAATTTTGGGGGTAGTTTATATAAAAGCCCAATATTTTTAAAATTATTACATAGACACCAAAATTTTCTTTAAATGCTTTGCTTAAATTAAGCAATACATATGTAATTATAAATATTTCAAACTTTAATCTGAAAAATTTCAGTAATTTTTAAAAATACTAACATTTTTTGTAAATGGATTTAGGGTGCTAAAAATGTTCAAGAACTGACTTTATGATTCAGGTAGTTTTCCTCTGGTAAAAAAAAAAAAAAAAAAAAAAAAAAAAAAAAAAAAAAAAAAAAAAAAAAAAAAAAACCCTACAAAAATCATTTAGTTCAGACATTTTATTTTATTATATCCAATAATGAAACAATTTTACTATTATATTCCGTTTAAATTCTCAAATATACACATAAACAAAAGCAGGCAAACTAGAATTTAAGTTGATATGTACAGAATTGTCACAAACAGATTGTGTAAACTGCAGAAAATTTGCAGAAAAATTAGTCAGAAGATAAAGTGTAAAATAATTTCAGAAAAAGTAATTATTTAAGGTAGATAATACAGGAGATAAAGATGTAGATTATTATTTATTGTATTCACAAAAACAGCATCTCAGAAATAGCAATACAATCAAACTATGAACAATGTAAAGTAATAAATAAATAAAAATATTTACAAAATAGAACTTATCTATACAAATAGTACATTTAATTTTATAAATGCATGAAGTGTCCCAGAGAGCAAAGAATAGAAAAACAATACCCTATGAGTTTCCACTCAATTACCTTCATTGTATTATTGCATGAAATGACTTAAAATTAATTTCTAGTTGTGCAAGCAGAACACAAGACTAATCACAATTATTTTTGTGAACTACCTTGAACTGGTGATTTACAGATATATTTCTACTGAGTATTCATAATAAAATAACTGGAATAGATTGCACCAACGAAGTAGCTATATAAACTAAACAAAAAATGAATTTAAGTATATTTAGTTTAAGAATTGAATATAGAGAAAAATACACTCCTCAAATTTACAATTGAATTTCCATGTAAGATAGCAAAGAGTACATCAAAATTACATCTGCATTTGGAAGGTAATGGTAAATTCTCTAAAGCACGTACAATAAGTACATACGTATACTTTTATTTTACTTAAATATTTTTAAGTAATATAAACTATTAATGTAGTAAAATAATGATTAATAAAATTTTATTTTACTACTAGGAGAGAAATACCACATAGAGTAATTGAAACTCTTCAATCTCACTTTCAAGGGATTAATTTAAAATAAAACAAAAATATTTCACTCTTTTGAGTCTCTCACATTTTGGTCTCAATATTATGACAGTGCCGTGTGGATGGTGGGTTACTTGTGTTCAATGATATTCACACCTTTCCTATTGTATCACTAATAATGGCTACAATCTTATTTGCACTTTCACCTTTCAAGATTCCTCTATGGTCACCCTTCAAAGAGTAGATCTTCACTTTCTGTGCACAAATCTGCAAAGTAAAAAATAAAAAATTTAGAATGAGTCTTCCTTCAATCTGACACAGCTTTGTGTAAAAAATGTTTTGAAGTATTTGCTATTTTACAAGATGACTTACTTGAGTAAGGCCATAATCTTCACCAATTGACACATAGTTATCTTCTGCTCTAACTAGAGTGACATCTCCTGCATAATGTGTCTTGGGTTTGTATTGATCAGCTGCTTTAAGTTTATGGTAGAATGAGGATGCAGCCATTGCTAGCTGATCAGCGGGATATGAAGACACACCTGCAAGTAAATCTGTACATCTTGCCAATCTCTTTTCCCATGAAGGCTGTGAGAGCAATTCTTGTTTGACCTGAAAGTAAAAGGCATGCCAAAATTAGAGATTTATAAACTCACTGCATATTTGTTAATCCACAACAGAAAGAAAGGTAGAAGAAGAATCTTGTATTTCACATTTATATCAATATCTTTCTAAAATATTGTAGATAAGATTTGTACCTTCTGAAAATCAACATCCTTGAACAACTGCATGAAGTATGTCAGAGCATCAGCTTCTTCTCCAGTTTTGTCTACACCTCTTGACTTATAATTTCCAGTATGTGTGGCAACATAAGTTGGTGACCCATCAAGTAGAACTAAAGACACCTTTTCCCCAATCTTCTCAAACTGAATTCCCATTTCAAATGCAACACATGCTCCAAATGAATAACCACACAATGTGTATGGTCCCTTACGTTGGACCTTTTTCACTTGCTATTAAAAAAAGAAAGATTATCATTGTCTTTTATGAATTTTTATTACTCTTTTCCTCAATCCATTAAAACCAAAGTACATGAACTTCATATCAATGAAAAAATGAGTTGGTTCAGATTCTTTGAGTGGACAAATATTTGAAGTTACTGTTTGAGAGCAATTTTAAGGAAGAAATTATAGCACCATTCTTTGTCACAACAAAGACATTTAAGACGAGGAAAACTTCAGTTTGAATTTCCATGCCACATTATTAGACCAATAATTTGTGGACCAGATCACAAATGATTGAAGCCAGCACATTCTTTCATATATCAACAAACAAAGTTAGTTTCCTTTACCTCTATGTAAAAGGATGCCAAGTCTTGAATGGAAGCAAGGGGAGCTTTTTCCGTACATTGGAGTCCCCACACTGGGCATGAAAGTGGGGCAAGCAAATTTTGTAACATGGATACCACTCCTTCAATAGGGTGCACAACAAAGAGTGCAGGATTCAATGAATTCTTTGGTGCTTTACTTGGAATCTGAATTATTACTTCAGATGGCATCAATTCTGATAATCCCTCAAGAGTGACTTGTATATTATCAGAGGGGATTTCCGTTGCCTCTGCAGGACTGGCTGCTTCGGAGTCCACTTCACCACTACTCAATTCAACCAATCTCTTGAAAGTAAGGAAGCGAATTTCTTGAGCACTCAAAACCAAGTCGTAATTCCTCTCCAAGGTTTGTTTTATTTCTGCTCCCATTAAAGAGTCCATTCCCAGGTCTGCTAATGAAACCTGAGCATTTACAGTCTTGAGATTCTTTATTCCTAAAACAAAACAAAAATCAATAGATAAAATTATAAATGCTAACTCTTCTTTCGGAGAAAAACAAGGCAATCCATTTAAGCAAAAATTGACTAAAATGCACACAGTAGGTACCTAAGATGTTTGCAACACTCTCCACGAGGCTCACTTTAGAGCCACCATCTCCTCCCTTTCGCTTCTCAGCAAGGACCATAGATGCAAGAACTGGATGTGGCTGCTGAAGGAAATAGTCCATAGCTGCCAGGCAGGATGTCATACGCTGGGGCAGAGTGCCTCCTACAACTGTATCATTATCTCCCATATTTTCGGCAACTAATCCAACATCTCCAATAGCTCCCCACTGAATAGCTAGGCCTGGAAGTCCTGCCAGTTGGCGAGCTTCACACAATCTTTCCATTGCTGAATTAGCTAGGCCGTAGTTACTTTGGCCTGCATTTCCACGACCACATGACACACTTGAAAATACAACAAAATAATCAAGTTCAGGGCAAAGCTTCCGAGATACATTATCAAGGTGAATCGTGCCATCGATTTTTGGCAAGCACACAGTCTGAAAGTCTTTTTCAGTTAGGTTTTCTAAAAATGAATCTCGCAAAACCTGAAACAAAGACATAGCAGAAATATAACAAAAACACCATTTAACGTTTTACAAGAAAAAATTTGTTTTTAATTTTATCCAAACTTTAAAACTTAGATTGATATTAGTAAAACTTACAGCAGCCAAATTGAAAATTCCTCCTATTGGACCTAATTTGGCAGAGTCTTGTAAAAGAAGAGTGGTTCCCTCCTCAGTTGTAACATTATGAGTGGAAATTAGGATTTCAATGCCAGCTTCACGCCAGCGTCTCACTCGCAGTGCTTGATACCCAGTTCTAATTCCAGATCGAGAAGTGAGGACAAGTTTCGTGGCACCACGATTTACAAGCCAATTTGCAAGTTCCAAACCAAAGCCACCAAGACCACCTATTCACCAGATATTTATACATTACAGGGCGCAAAGAAAAATGAATGTACATGTATTAATATTCAAAAAAATGGTGATGGCTAAAAATGATCAATTACATGGTACTCAATATTCAAAATTTCAGTTTAAAGGTTTGAAGTCATTATTTCAGTTTTGGTTACTTTGTATCTTTTCCCTTCATTTGCTAGAAGACCATAGTTTTGGCCAAATGTAATTATTCCTGCTTTCTCTCTGTATAATTAACAGTATTGCATGTAATATAAGAATATTAATAATAACAATAATCAAATTGCATTATTAACTCAGTATTGAAGAAAACTGGACTCTTGATAGCTTTTAGCAACCATGTTCCAAATCTTCGATCAAATAATTATAACTACTTACCAACAAGAATGAATGCTTTATCAGGATTCATGTAAGTGCGAGGAATTGCAGACACCAACTTAGTTTGCGGTTTAACAACAGCTTGCTTCTCTTCATCACTAATTTTCAAGAGCACCTTTCCTATATGCTTTCCAGATGCCATAAATCTGTACAAATCATTTTGAAAAAAATTGAAATTTTCCCACAATTTTACTGTATCTTCAACAATTATTTCAAAATTACAATAGTCAATAAATTAAAAGTTATTTAAACTTCCACCAACCGGAAAGCTTGTTCCACTTGATTGTCAGAGAATACTGTAGCTGGCAAAGGACGAACAGCTCCATTGCAAATTCCTTCATTTACAAGTCTCACCACTTCCTGTTTCTCAGGGCTGTTATTCTCAAACAGAGCATCCAGAAGAACCCCATGGAAAGTAGTGTTTTTCAAGAAAACAGCCATTCCTAATAAATACATTGAAAATCATGAGAAAGAGGAAATTGGAGAAGTTGTTGAGGAATAAATAAAATTTTAACACGTAGGGCGTCAACAGAATATCGTTTTTCACATTACTTTTAAATTTGCAATTTTTGAATATCTCAGAGAGCAACGAAAATGAGACCCACACTATTTATAAGCTTTCCTTGTACTATATCTGAAAAAAATTTGAAGAAGAAAAAAAAAAAAGTCTCCTTTGAGAAAATATTTGTTTTTATAATTTGCATTAATTCAAGTAGAAATTATGTAAAAAACAACTCTTCTTTTTCAACAAATTTTATGTAATAATTTTTTAAAATTTCTTCCCCCCACCCCCACCAGATTTTATTTGCAACACACTACTTTTTATTTGTGCCTTGATTCACAAGAAGAGAAAATTTTAAGAAATAATTTGGAGCCGTTTTTGAGAAAAAAAAATGTTTAAAAACTACCTAATTTCATCCACAATTATGTGTAAGCTATTAATATTTTAGAAAAATTGTACAAGACCTTTTTTGTTCAAGTCGTCTTTAAAGAACAGGTTTCATTAAGAAAAAAAATATCTTAGTCTTCAAAATTGTATTTGAAGGAAGACAGAAAAAAATTTGAACTTTTGTAGTTTTTGAAAAACTGGGAATTTTAACAAACTTGAGACCTGCACCATTCTTTTGAGCATCTTTTTGTACTACGCGACAACAGAATTTAATCAAAAGTTTTGATGCCATTTTTCAGAAAATTTTGAAAGTATTTTTGAGGCTTCATGTAAAAAACTCCTAAAATTAAAATATCCTCTTCGATCTCCGAGGACCTCAAGTTCATTTAAATCTGTCACAGAATATCAATTTTATAGAAAATCGGCAAATCAGTTTTGCTTTGACCACAAATGCATGGAAAGACAGAGGTTTTGTTGTCAATAATATTTTTGGTATCGAGGACCAATGAAACTTGGATTCTGACTACATGCGTTTGACGAAATAATGTACTACATATAGGAATATGATTTATCCACTTTTTTGTTAGCAGGAAAGTAAAAATTACATATATACTACAGGAAAGTAAAAATTACATATATACTTTTCACCATTATTATCAGTTAAAACTTTTTCTTACCCAAGGGATTATTATTTGAGAAGTCATATTTTCCAATTTCAAGGAATCGACCATGTTGAGCCAAACACCTGACAGATGCCTGCAACTTTTCTTCTGCCAACGAATTTAAAACCAGATCTACACCTCTACCCTCTGTTTCTGACATTACATGTTGTTCAAAAGTTGTGTCTCTTGAGTTTGCAATGTTGTGATCAGTCAACTGTAAAGAGGTCATAGTGTAATACAAGTAGAGAAATGTCCTTTACATCTTCATTTTGTAACTAATATGTATTTTTTGAAGTGTGGTTTGGGCACTTACTTTGGGAAATCTCTCTTTCAAAAACTGTCTCTTTGCAGAACTGCCTACAGTTGTGTAGACCGTGCAACCCATGTGGAGAGCAATTGAGATAGCAGCCTGTCCAACACCACCACTTCCAGCGTGAATGAGAACCGATTCCCCAGGTCGCATTCTGCCTCTTACTACCAGAGCATAATAAGCCTGAAAGAGTATCATCCTCATCAATTATTTTATCTATTTTTGCATTTAATACATCTTAACTAATTACATTTCTTAAGTGGCTATGATGTACAAAATTATCAACAAAGAGGCATATTCTACTTGGAGTTTTGGGGGGAAATGCTAAGTAGAACAAAGAGGCATTACTATGAATTCAATCAAAATATTTAATAAATGATATTATATTATATCCCTTTTTTCATATTTCTCACGTCTTCTAATAAGTTTCATTATAAATTTATGTACTGTTATTTTCATACTACATATTTCTATATTAATGACCAAGTCAGAGTTAAAAGCTTACTGTGAAATTACTTCTAAGTCTTTAAGTTTTCTCTGCTTGATATGACTGAGCAGTGTATGGTAAATACTTTATACACACCGTAGCATATACAACGGGAACAGTAGCAGCATCTTCCAGACTCCATTCACTTGGGACTTCCCACAAAAACGTTGGATCAGCTAGAACAGTGGATGCCATACCGCGAGCAGCTACCATACCCATCACCCTTCGACCACGTGTGCAACGGCCAGAGAACTCTAAGCCAAGAATGCAATCCTGAAACAAATGTGTAAAAATGAAAAATTGTGGCCACAATAATCAAGCAAAAACAGCACTCCCTCAGAGTCGAAACTCAACCAGAAGGGTTTTAGAGGTGCTGTACCCTGCGGTTAAGCACATGGATAAAGCACTGGGAGAGGTGGCTCAGTGCATCAACTGACGTCACTGCAAAGCCTCTTACCAAAAGGCCCTAGGTTCGAATCCGATAGTGGCAAGATTTTTGACACTAGCTTGTCAGCTAAATCAAATTCAGTTGCTGTCGAGAATTCTAGAGGCCGGTTGCTCCGATCCATAGTTTTCCGTGGTTTCTCTGATCAACACCAGATGAATACTGGAGCAGTACCCTGACAAACGGACCACAGAGCACATGCAATATTTCCTTCCTCTTCCTTGTCCTATCCTCACACCTTACACACACAATTACACTAACATGCACTACACTACCACCCATGCCACAAGACTGGTCAGGAGCATAAGAGCTTGTTCCGGCTGGGGTGGTGCCCTGCTGGTGGAAGATACCTGGCTGGAGGAAATCTTGCTAGCTGACGCTGGATCTCACCATCCAATGGGGGAAAAATCACTGCCACCTCCCTAGGAAAAAAATGCTCTACACTTATGAGAGTAATGACCTCTGTAGTTGGCACGCTCGGAATCACTAACAATCAACCAACCCATGGATAAAGCAATAGTTGAGAAAGAATGTATAATAATAAAATAGAGTCGGACCTCCATATATTGAACTTCTCTATAAATCAAATGTTTTTTCCGTCCCTTGAAAATTCCATTTAAAACATTTCTAAATATCATAAATTATTTGGGTATATCAAACTCATTTTCTGACTTGACTATTTTTATGTTTTTTTAAAATAATAGTATTGTTTAATTTGGAAGGAGAGCATTACTACTGAGGAAAAATATAATTTCCTTCTAGATTTATATATACTTTATACATCCAGTTTCCAGCTTTCTCATGACTGTAACTTACTCCTGTTATCGCTTCTCATGGGAACTTGTCAGTCATGGGAATGCATTCGCCAAAGCGATCTGAAGGTCAATTGTATGCCCCTTTGTCTAATGGCCCTCCCCTTCATTGTTAGTTCATCAGTTCAGCACAGGTTTAGTTTGTTGTTACACGCTTAAGAAAAGTGTTGGAAATGTTGAAACGAAAATCTCTGAATGTTTAAAAAAAAATATTAATTTCATGTTCCTATTAATTTCATGTGATATGAATTATTGAAAATTTGTTAATTATTTAAGGTAGAATGTTTCATTTTACCCCAATTTTCCAAAACTGTTTTAAAAGCATTTGCTAAAATTTCATAATTATTGCTGTATACCAAAGTTTCTATATATTGGATATTGTTGAAGGATCCATCAGATTTGATACATCAAGGTCCAACGGTGGTTTATTTTTTGTCGTCCTCAAAATTGAAATATTTTGCTGTGTTCTTACCTTGGGAATGGGAAGGTTGGAACGTTGGATTTACAAGTTATCCCAAAGTGCTTATGTTGTTGGTTTTTGTTTTCTCCTATGTCCCTTTATTAGACAAAAAATAAAATCAGTTACCTGCCCAGCAAGGTCCCCGGGAAGGGCATCAGGTGGTAGCTTTCCAGTGGCCAACATTATATCTCTGAAGTTCAGAGGGGCATAGTAAACCTTGCACAGTTCCTTATCGAGGTGCTTTTCCGGGCTTTGAAACAAACAATGCAAACATTCAAAAGAAACAATCAAAGGAAACGGTTATAAAAAAATGTTTTCACATTCAGTAAATACATACCGATAGAAAGTGAGTGGGCCCTCTATCCATTGAAGGCTTGCAAGATCTCCTCGAATCAAAGCATTAATGTATGCATGTTCAACTTGCAGCGAAGCTGCATCAGCGTTATTGTTCAATTTGAGATGTCGGTATGATCCCCATGTGTTGTTTTTCAGAACATTCACTACCAAATCCTTCTTCAATTGATCAGAGTATTTCTTATTCTTTAGAGAGAAGGCAGGTGCATTCTTATCTTGTATGAAAACACATCTAAGAAATGATCATCAGGATGTACAATTAGAAATAAAATTATTTGGTATAGTCTCTAGCTTTGTATTGTAAATATATGCTCCTAAGTACCTGGCATTGTTGCCGCCTGGTTCTTGTTTGATGCAATTCATCATACCAACCATTCCAAACTGTGGTTCTCCTTGGGACACCACAAGGAATTTTTGGCCATCTGTCTCACTCTTCTTCAAAGCAGCTTTCAAGGGTTCGAGCCAAGTGAAATTCTTTTCTGTCACCGTGATGACAACAGGCTCAGAAGATAAATAAGCCTGCAAAATGAAAAAAAGCGAAGTTGATAAGAAAAAATAAGGTAATCACGAAGCAATTTTTAGTATTTATAATAACATTCAGAAAAATCTTACCTTGCGAAGAAGTAAGTACACTCTACGACCATCCAGTTGTGATGAGATCACTTCTAACCCAGCCTCATAGACAAACTGAGACTGAATTGGCATTGTTTCTTCTAAAAGTATAAAGCCACCAGCTTTAACTGATTCTGCCATGTTTCTGATCACAGTAACAGGTTGCTCCTTCTTAAGGACATCTGAAGCAACAACTAAATGGACATTTTGGTCAACAGGTCCAGCCTTGATATCCTTTGATGTAAATTTTGTACCCAATGGTTCAACTGCAGAAGCTGACAGAGTCGGTGAGGCAACAGTGAAATCCACCTGATGAAGAAACATTTATTAGATAAATATATGTTCTTGTTGCCAAGCAATTATATGAACTTTGAGAGGGACACACAAAAGCAAATGTACAATTTAAGAGACTCACATGAAGTTGGGGCTCTGATTCAAGAATATGAATGACAGCTGGTGCCAGAAGAGACTCAACAGGTTGTTCATGAGCTACTTCCACAACCTTCATCTTCAAAGAACTTCCTATGTTTTCCAAAGCCACTTGCAGGGACACAGTAAGAGCTTGGGAATTTATCTTGACATCACTCTCTGATAATTCTCCCTAAAGAAATAAAAAAATATCTATCCATAACAAGAATCAAGAGTAAAAATTTGGAAACTTATCTATTTAGATAAAAAATAATTATATGTTGCGCAGGTGGACAGAATTTGTGTTTATTTCTATAAACACAAAATCTTGATAAAACATAAATGAAATTTGAGTATTATAATCCTTGATTGTAATTAATTAAATAATAGAAATTGTCTTTCCACTCCCTGAGATGGAATAATTTACATGCACTTACCTCTCCATGAATATTCTCATAAGGAATGAAAATATATCTCTCTAGTTTGGGTGCAGCTTGAGATTGCTGGCGTCTTGGAGCAAGGCTAGCTTTCATTCCTCTCAGTTCTACTCCACCAGCCTTAATTACTCCAATGTTGCGATACATGTACACAGGCAAACCTATAAGAGATACAAATAGATTATGTTACTTTATATTTCAAGTTGGTGAGAAGAAAAATTAATTTCAAAATGTTTGTTAATGTTGATATAAATAGTTAATATTTTAAGAGGCTGTTGACCTGTTGGAATTAATTTTTATCTAGTTCTTGAGTGTAGGACATAAATGTAAATTTATTTACTTATTTATGACCTACACTCAAAAACCAGATAAACTTTATAATGTTCATAACATGTTACACATACAACTATTTCTTTGACAAATTAGAGAAAACGGGTGTTAAACATGTGTATAAATCACAACTGAAGAGTGAAAGTGAATAAAAAATTATAACACTGGGTTGTATAGTTTTATTTTTAAACATTAGTCAGACGACATGTAAAAATGTAAAAGAATCAGCAACAAATATTACAAAAAGAAGAAACATACCATCACCCTCAGTCAGCTGTTCCACCATTTGCCTGTGGGCTTTGGGATTCAAAACTGCTCTTTGCAGGCGAGTAGGCAAATATAATTCACGAGTGTTCTGACCCAAAATTGAAAACTGGAGCATAGTGTCCATGAAACTAACCCAGTTTGATACCCATTGCAATTTACCAGCAATTCCTACAAGAAATATTCTCCAATTAAAATACACATAACCCCAGCACCCTAAATCTCTCAAAATAACATAAGTATTATTTGAGTAATTTCTCCCAGAATCTTACCTTTGTTGTCAGATTCAATTATTCCTTTAAAAATGCCTCCATAATCATAACCTCTCAGGCGGAGGTCCTTGTAAATATCACCTGTTACAAGAGGAAGAAGGTTTTGGTCAGACTGTATGGCAGGAACAGAAAGATTCAGAACTTCACGATCCACATCTTCAGCCACAGAGATGCGACCAGATACAGCTACAGAACCTCCCTCACACAACTCAAACTCTCCTGAACTGTCAAAAATGTTGATGAGGAACTTCACGCAACCTGTGACACAGACACTCATATTAATTTAATACTTAAGTTCTATAATTCTACAGTAAAATAAAAAAAATGTTTAAATTTCATTAACACTAACCTTCTTTAGGCATAATAGTTGCACGATGAAATTGCACATCCTCAATTACGACAGGTAATTCTTCAAAATCTGTGCCCTGAAGTTTGGCAAACGTCTTCCACACAAGAGTCTATAACAATACAAAAATGAATTTAATTCACTGCATACCTGATAGTCATTTCCCCAGCAGAATTATACTGTTTTGTGGATTATATTCACCAAATATCCAGTAGCTGGGAAAAGCACTCGTCCATCAATGGCATGACCCGCCAGAAAACTGTCAGTCTCCTTGCTCAAATCTACTTCAATGACACATTCACCTGATCGAACTCCATCCTACAAGAAAACAAAAATGTATTTGTAAATATGTTTATTTACATGTGTATTTTCCAACCAAACAATACTTCATAAAACCAACATACTTTTCCTCCAAATTTAGCCACTCCCCATTCCACAGAGTGATCCCATTGAATTAGGGATGCAATGCGTGGGGTACCTCGGGCAACAGGATAGGTCACCTGAGGATGTAAGCGAGCTACTTTGGGATGAAGGCCAGCATTGTACAACCTACAATTAGCAATCATTAATAAACCACAAATAACTTTCTCACAATTCATACATCATACACAAAGTCTAACTATGCAACCTACTTTCCAAGACTTGAAAAGAAAAACTGCTTGTTGTCAGGATGATTACGCTTGATAAGACCCACATTAATGCATGAAGATGGGGTAGAACGCTTCAGGATGGCCTGCAAGAGGCAGTGAGGGGCAACTTCAATGACAATAGCATTTTCTGGGATGTGGGAGATGGCTTCATGGAACAGAACCGGAGACAGCAGGTTGTTCACATGATATGCTGCAGATGAAGACTGTGCAAGTGCAGTGCCCCATGCAGATTCTGGCACAGATGAGCTGATCCATCGTGCAGATCGAGGCTTGGGATTGGGAATGATCTAAAATGAAATGAAGTATTTTAATGCAAAGAAGAAGTTCCTAAATTCAAAAAGAGCACAAACTGGATAGATTTCAATGAGCACTGAGGATGTGAGCATTATTTTGCTACTTTTCAATGAGTTTTATAAGATACATGTGTATGTGTACTTACTCTGTCCAAAGACTTTCGAAGTTTTGGTCCAGCTTCTGCAATATAACGACTATGGAAGGCAATATTGGAACTTGCCACTTCCCTGTTGAAGATCCCCTCTGCCTGAAGGACTTTGAGAAACTTCCTTGTATCTTCAACAGGGCCAGATATGGTAATATTGTCCTTGCTATTGTGGCAGGCTGGAACAATCTCAGGAGGGCAGCGAGCTTTAGCTTCTTCCCAAGTAAGCCCTGAAGCAAAGAATACAGAAATTAAAGCATGGAATAAAATGGCTTTTGTACATATAATAATAAATAACATTGTAGGTATGAAATTTATTTATTTTTTAACATAATGGTATTGAGAATGTAAGACACTAACCAACAGCTGCCATTGAACCAGGAGGCAATTTTGACTCAAGGATAGAGCGACCTCTCCAGTATGCAGCCAGAACAGTTTGCTCTGCAGTAAATGCACCATCAGCATAAGCACAACCCAGCTCTCCAGCAGAGTGTCCCACAATACCATCAGGCTGAATTCCCAATGATGTCAAAATATCAACTAATGCTACCTGTAAATAAACAATGTTATCAAATTGAAGAAACAAAAAACCACAATTTAATTTAACCTTCTAATTCATGTACAAACAAAAAACACCACTTTAAAAACACACCTGAACGGCAGCAATTGAAACAAAAGAATTAACTAGATTGTCTGGATCATAATTGGAGAATACTTCATACAAATTTAATCCTTCATTTTGCAATGCTTCCGCACACTTCCTGATAGCCTTCTCAAAAATATCAATTTCCATAAGGTCCTTAGCCATCCCAGCCCACTGGGATCCAATGCCAGAGAACACATACCATACTGGTCTCTTCTCTGTTGTCATTTCCTAATAAGACATTGAAATCTTCTGTTAATTTGCTTAATTGAACCAAAAATAAACAGAATAGAAATTTTAAAATTTTATTATCAACACTTACAGCAATTTCTCTAACAGGAGTATCAGAACCCAGAACAGAGTAACCTCTGTAACCATGACCAGAAATATTGGTACCATGTATTTTGTGCAACAAACTAATGAGCTCATCATCTCTTGGCATGTTTTCAACCTAAAATTAAATAATAATAATAATAATAATAATAATAATAATAATAACAACAATAACAATAATAACAATAAAAAATACTTTAAAGGAATCATTATAAAGGAGCATTACTAGATTATCAGAGACAATATCATGAATTGCATTGAATCGTAGTGAGTCATATAAATCACACCAACATTACCTTCTCTAGGAAGCTATTAACAGCTTCAATAGTCCGCCCAGAAGTTGTAACTAGTCTTGGAATGTTATCTCGTACAGCAGGAGTCTTTGGTTTGGGGTTAGAACGCAAAAGTATATGTGCATTGGCCCCACCAAAGCCAAAGGAATTTACAGCCACTAGCCCACCATTCCAAGGAAGTGCCTTGTCCACCACCTATTGAATCATTTCAATTTATTTTATTTATTTGAATTGTTTTCAATTTATTACGTACATTAGATTTAAAATTTGCAATGCTGAATTTAAAACAACATATAAGCATTCAAGTACATCTTCGCTAATACTCACTTGAAGTCTTCCATCAGAAAGAGCAGGAATATCCTTATTAGGCTCCTTATAATGTAAATTAGCTGGAATGACACCCTCTTCCATTGCAATGATGACTTTAGCTAGGGAACAAAGACCTGAAGCAGGTTCCGAATGACCCATGTTAGATTTGACAGAGCCAATTAACAGTGGAGATGGGCGATCTTTGCAGAACACATCAGCAATGGAATTCACTTCTTGAGGATCCCCAACCTACAGAAAAAGAACATTTCAGACACCTTATTGACATTTAAATTCGTGAAAAATGTCGTCTCGCAACCAACCTTTGTTCCAGTACCATGAGCTTCAACATAGGCAACATCAGCAGGATTCACACCCACTTCAGCATACACTTCTTTGATGAGTTTCTTTTGCATCTCTCCAGATGGAAAAGTAATACCTTGTTCCTTGTTGCCATCAGTATTAGTCTTTGCATTTAAAATAGTAGCATACGTTCGTCGTGCCACTGAGGCCTTTTGGAGAAAGACAACAACTGCTGCTTCACTGCGCACATATCCATTACCTGCACAAAAAAAAAATATTAATAGGATGTCTTCAGATCTTGGACTAAAAATACTACAATATATGCATGAATAAAAGTTTGTATAAATGTATAAGTTGAAAATCCACTACCAGATGTCATGTCATCTAAAATAAATAATTACCTGACGAATCAAATGCCTTGCACATTCCCTCAGGACTCAACATGTTTAGACGATGGAATTGGAGGGAGGATGTAGGCTTTAATAGCAAATTAACACCACCGACAATGGCAGCATCACACTGGCCTGTCCTCATGGCATACAGTGCCTGTTGCAAAGCAAACATGCTAGAGGAGCAAGCAGTGTCAACTGCATAACTGGGACCAGTGAAGTCAAACGTGTATGAAATTCTATTAGGAAACATAGCTCTACAGCATCCAGTGAGTCCATAGCCATTTACTCTATCAGGATCTTGGGTCCAATACTCATCAGCTTCACTGTCAGATACTCCAATAAATACTCCGGTTCTAGACCCTTTGATTTCACTAGGATTTACACCTAAAACATAACATAACAACATTATTTTTTTTTATTTTTGTAGCAAACAATGAACAATCATTACTGCAGGGATGACTAGCAATGAGTACCGCAATTACATTTAAGTTTACAATATATTTTCAATATTAATATACATACTTCTCAAATTTCTTAAGATTACCTGCATCTACAATAGCTTCATATGTTATTTCCAAAAGCATTCTCAACTGAGGATCCATTACATTTGCTTGTTTTGCATGAACACCAAAGAAAGTTGCATCAAATTTGGATAAATCCTTAATCTTTCCAGTCCTCTTGGGCAAACCATACAATCCTATAGAGATATGTTACAATTAGAAAATCTGAACATTTGATCTCTATTCAGAGTAAAATGTTCACATGTTGGAAAAAAGAGATTATTAAATATCAGAACTGCAATAAATACCTTGCGTCCAACGTCTATCATCGTCTGTGACAAGGTCAACACCTGCAAATAGCTTGTCCCGAAATTCTTCAATATTCTCACATTCCGGTAGTCGACCTGATAATCCTGTGATAACCACTTCTTCATCTGTGTTCCACCTGAGTCCACCAGTATTCACATTTGAAGGTGTATCCACATTACGTATTTCCACACCAACTTCTACTTCAGGAAAGCGAGCAGGCATTTTGAAGAACTTTAATTCAGTGTCACTTGTGCAATCTGAGAAGGAAAATATTGAAATTTAGAATAGATTACACAGTACCTTTGAGATTAATATACCGGTATATTGTAAAAGAAAGGCATATTTTCCTTTCCTTACATCTTTTTATATTATATCATACTTAATATATTTATTCACTAAACAAATTGGATTTGTACATTGTTTTATCTAATGATAAAGGTAATAAATTTCGAATTAGAAAAAAAATCTAGCAATCAACTTTCTTTTTTGTATTACTTAGTTGTGTCAAATCATCTGGACCAAATGTATGGTACAATAATAAAATAACACTGTTGAATGATTTAACCTCACTCTATAATTATGTATCTTCAGAAAATTAATAGAAAAAAGGAATTGACTGCCATGCAAAAAATCTTTATGAAAGTGCAACAAAGGGCTTGGTACTTAGAATTAAATCTATTTAAAGAGGTAATTTTTGAGTCACCTGAAAACAAAAGCCAGGTCAGAGTTACGGAAAGGAAGGGAAGGGAAGGAAGAGGAGGATTGTGCTTTGGGGGAATAAATAACAATAAACTTGATAACTTTGCTTGCTTGGTGAGAGCGATTCGTCTGTCTTCCAGGGAGCTTCCTAAGCATTGGCTGCGACTCTGCAGCTGGTCGCCCCGCCCACGCATAGCGGAGCGGCGGGGAAGGAAAGTCAAGAGGGAAAACCTCGCCTCGCCTCTCGCCACACCCCACCCCTTGGGCCGACGACGCTGTGTTTCAAGAGTGGGGACATCAACTGACGCGCAGGCGACCTACGTTAACCGAATTCATTGCGACTGTCCAAGAGAAAGGGCGCGCTTGAACACTTCAACGTAGCTCGAGAGCGCTACGCCTCGACACAACGACCCACAGACCAAAAACTGGAAGGGGGAGAAATCTCCCTTCCGAATGATATGATACCACACGAGAGCAAGCGTCAAAACCATATAGAAATTAAACTCGGCACTGTGACAGCTAGATATTACTGCAACTAATTCTACAAATTCGTAAAAGTTTTCTAAAACAATTTACTTATATATTATCTCGAGATTATTATATTCTTGGTATTAAATTAAATACAATCGATATATTCTTCCATATAGAGGAGGTCGTACTGACGTACGAGTGCGCAAAAACCTTTCAAAAAGCTTTTTCTCTTTTGATTCTTAATAATGATGCCTTAGCAGCCTTAGAATTTGTAAATGTGCATAGTGCTACCGAATGCTGAGGTCAGGCTTATCTTGAGAAGCCATTAGAGAAAACGGTAAATAACGTAATTTTGACACCATTTTCTCTGTAATCCTTGGTCCGACCCGACTGCTTTTGTTTCGAATGAATGATGATAAATTTGTTTGTTCCCACACACTTTTTGATATATATGAACCGTTTTAAGTTAGAGTGCATTTTTTGAACACATGAAATAAACCAATGCTCTGGAGGTATAAAAATTGTCATTTCAAGCTAATTATGTAAAAGTGCCCCAGGAGTGCATACCGGATTTTGATTCACCTTGTATGTCATGTTATTAAATGCACGTCTCAATAGAACTTTTGTGACGTATCTTCATAGGTGAAATAGTTTTTTTACTTGTAGAGGTTTTGTTTGACCACCCCTTTGCAGCGACGCTGAACAGTACGTCAATTAATTTTTCACAACTACGGGAAACAATATTTACTTCTCTGTTATTGCTAAACGAATGAAACTGAGTTTACTTGTGCCCCCTTCCCCCTTTATTCCCCTTTTCCATACTTTCCCCCTTTATTCAATGAAACTAATATCAATTTTAAATACCTGTTTTGAAAAATATCCCAGGCTTTAACATTGTATAGCTTATTATTCGCGAGTAAGAAATATACAACTTGGCTCGTAATTTAACATTATTTTTAAATGCATAATTTCAATATCCTAGTTCTTAACATTTCTTCCCAAATTTAAGTTTAAAGTCGATTTTTGGAGGAAACGCCAAAATAGTATATTTTCAACCAATGATTGTGGACAAGTTCTTTACGAAATGATTTAAAACATCTCAATATTCAGAGCGTTTTAAAGCCCCTAGGAAAACTATGAAGCCACAACATCACAAAAGTTGCTTTGAGTCACGGGACTCAGCATACAAAATGGCATCAAAATCTGGTATTATTCGCGCAACTTTTCTTGAACGATGGATTAAAGAAATGCGAGAAGATTTGGGGTATTAGTTACGAAATCGGCCACTAGACTTTATGAAGGAATGCCAAACTGGAGAATCAGTCATGCCTTTGCAACATTGTCAATAATTTGTGTTCTAACTTCCTCAGGAGTTAGAGGTATCTCATATGATATAAATCTTTACATTCTTCGGTCATTTCTTTAGATTTTTTGGAGAAAATAACGGATAGAAGTTCTCGCCTACAAAAGAAAATTGTTTCTATTTCTCGCCAATGAAGATGTGTGGAACGTTGTCTTAAATTTTCACTGAGAACTCTTGCCTTCTACTGTTTATTGAGCCAGGAAGGGGGAAGCAAGGTCATTCAGCAAGAAAAGTTGCGAGAGTAATATTCTCTCGGAGGGCATTTTTCCAAAATTATATTGAAATGTCAAGGACATTTCTTAAACAACACGTTATTATCATTCATTTAAAACAAAAGGCAAAGAGGTGCACCAGGAATTAGAGATAATAGCGTCTAGATTATACTTTTCGCCATCTTTAATGACGTATCATGGTAACCTCGAATCGACCACAAGATTTGGTGGCACGTTACATCTCTACATACTTCACCAGCACGACAGCAGCGGCGTGGAGTTCACGTTTGTTAGATTACTGTTGATGTTACGGTTGTCATAGTAACAGGTGAGGCAAGCGGCTCCCTGGAAGTTAAGGCACGTTAAAGGGTCGACGACTATACTTCAACGGCCGGCGTGTTCGGTGGCATACTCACATCCGGCGCCTTCTTGAGGATTAAATGCCTAGTCGAGTTCCGCGCGTGCCATTTAAAAATCCACTTACATTTCTAATACCAACATACCAGTAGTACGTGATAAGGAAAATAAATTTAAAATATAATTCTTATATAAATAATTGGTGAAGTGCTATTTCATCTACTTCCCCTGAATCACCGCCCCTGGTTTGAGGTGCGATGATTAGAAGTAGTTAATAAGACGTAACATCAAGCTTGTGATGCTGAAAATATCAGTAACGTACAATGAGTTTAATTCTCACCCAAGTGCTTGTCGTTGGTAACATGCTATCACTTTCTTTAGTCGCTGTCCTATCCAAATGCTGATAAGTGAAAAGCAATTCTAAAAAAAAAACTTTTTAAAGGCCTGAGCAAAATGATGTCGCCGTGAATTGCACATTTCTCCTTCCCATATAATTCACGATACCAAGAATCACCGCCAGAAGTGCTAATTATTAAACCAAGCAAACCTCTCTAAAGTTTGATGGTCAGCAACACAATAATGTTAATCTGCATGTTTGAGAGAGACATGCAAGAGTCGTAAATAACCAAGGACAAGGTCTTATAAACGGAAAATGTGCCGCCTCAGACGCCTACATCAAAGAACTAGTGGAACTTCAACAGCACGTACTTCTTCGCATAATGTGTAATGTGGCTACTTAATATTATAACTAGAGCTGGGAAGTTTATGCAAGCTTTTAGCCCTGAAATATGCATTCAAATATGCCACAAAAATAGTGAAATACGCACAAAAATGTGAAGATGTGCAAAGTTTGGTCACAAAACGTATTTTACAATTACATTACATACTTTTGCCACCTAGAGAGAGGGAAATTGCAAATTAAAAACAAATTAGTATCTACTTCTGCACATTTTATTTCGCAAGAAGAGCACAGAATGCTACAAAAAACAAAATAACAACAAAAAAAACTGTATCTGTAGTTACGGAGTGTCTCCTATCAGACTATATAATTTTGTATGTAAACATTTTACTTGGACATAATGTAATGGGAGACAATGTTCGTGCTCAATATAGTATGGAGGACGAACTCTTATTTCCTTCGAAAAATTCCCATTGCTCTACATAGCCCTACATTTTTCCAAAACCTTCATTTGTTTTCTTTCTATTAGCATTCCCCTTTTCACTTGGAGCTACCATTAATCTATCCCTTGCCTTCAGAATAAATGTAAGTGCATCTAAGGTTTTTCTTAATTTCTTTACCTTCTTTATAAACAAATTTCTTCGGTGATGTTGACCGTCAGTGGTCTCAAACTCCTTGTTCTAACGTATCTGAAGCAGCAAGGTTCACGCTAAATATTTTTACATGGAAATTCATATTTTTGTGTAATTTTAATTTTTGTCTAAATGCAAAATGTCTAAAAATATGCAAAAACTTTTATATATGTGCCAAAAAGCTCTGAATATGCAAATACACAATACGCAAAACATTTCTTACATCATTTTCAACGTTTTGCCATGAAACACATTTGAAGTTTCAGAAAAACATGACCATTAACAAAAAACATGCAATTGCATGAACTTCCAAGCTCTAATTATAACACTTCCTGAAATATATGAGTAATTTTTGAAACATCAACATACATGAAACAGGTAAACCAAAATAATGTTTATATTACTTTATCTAGTGCATTTAGCTCTATCCATTTTAAAAATAGTTTAAAGAAAAATCAAGAGGTTTTTAGAAAATCTCGTTTCCAAAACACGTTTTTTGAAAACATTTTAATTTGGAAGAAATATTACACAATCTTATTCAAAGATATAATTTTCAAGACCATATTTCACTATGAAAAAATCTCTGTATGGACAGACAGATGTTTTACTGTAAACCAATATTCTAAAATCAACTACCAACAAAACGGATTCTTGACTACACGTTTAAGAGAAAGTTACTTACTACATACATAAGAACAAGACTTATACAGTTTTTAGCTACAAGGGATCCACTAAACAAGTTTCTGTCAAATGATTAGTACATTGTAAATGTACGTAACAAAACAAAAGGTATGTGGGACATTATTACAAAGACTACAGCACCAACTAATAAAAGATAAAAAAT